GGCGCCGCGGGGGAGGGCGGGCTGGGCCCGGCCCGGCTGGAACCTCCCCGGGCATATCGGCCCTAGGGGTGAAGGGGTGCCCGAGATGTGCTTGGATCTGGGCCCTTGGTCTGAGACGTTACCGGGAGTCTCGGTGAATAGTATCGGCGTTATGCCAGCTCGGTTCTTCCCTCAGTTCCAGAAGCGTTACTGGAAGTGGCTGTATTTCTCCAAAGAGTCTTTGTCAGGAACAGGCTCGCTAGGATTCGATCATACTGTTTGTAAGGAGTTTTCAGGTGGTGCTTTTCAGTTCCACATGGTGATAGACCTCCACGAGGCAATAAAGGACACATTTTACTTCCACAGGAGCATTTTAAAGTAGATTGCATCTCATTCTCATGTCCTTTCTTTGCAGTTTATCAGGTCTTTGAAAGTGTTGCCAAGAAGTATGATGTAATGAATGATTCAATGACTCTAGGGATTCATCGAGTGTGGAAAGATATCCTCATGCGTAAAATGAACCCTTCCCCAGGAACACTTCTTCTTGATGTTGCTGGAGGAACAGGTAAATAATTTTGGTGAGTTCCTCATAACAGTGCCTCACTGTTTTTGAAACTGAGACTGCCCAGGTTCAAGTTGCCTAGTGTGTTTTTTTTTTTTTCCTCCACTCAGTTCCCTGTCTTTAAAACTAGTGAAGCATCTATTTTCACAGGGAAGGGTTAAGAGCTAGCTTGTGTTTTTAAATATTTTCCTCTAAGGATCTGAAAGTATTATAGTACTACCATGATACTTTTTGGAAAACTTCCATTTGTAGGAAGCCCTAGGCTCTTTGATTTGAATGTGTTCCCTTTATATATTTTATATATATATATATATATATATACACACACATACACACTCTCTACTCTGTGTGTGGTGTTTATTTTTCTAAATATATATATGTAAATAAAAATTAACTAGGTTTGATGTTCAAAGCCTTATGTTCCAATTTCCTGGAGTCAGGAAATGTTCCAAAACATGTATCTTTCTTTTAAAACAAATGCAGGTGACATCGCTTTTCGATTTATTAATTATGTTCACTCTGCACAAGAACGCCAGCTCCAGCAGAAGCTTAAGAACCATCAGAATTTATCGTGGCAGGAAATTTCTGAGAGTTACCAGGAAGACAAATTTAAGTTGCTAGGGGATTCCCAAGTGGTGGTCTGTGACATTAACAAAGAAATGTTAAAAGTTGGGAAGCAGAAAGCACAGCATCTCGGCTACTCTGAAGGTGAGTCATGCATTGTACCATTTCAGTAACATGCCTGATAACAAGAATTTGACATGTGATAGCCACGAGGTAATCACCACTTCAGGATTACAATATATATTATATAGCCATGGTGTATACTATAGTTGTGCATGCGTATTTGCCAACGTTGAGTTACATGCTCACTGAAAAAGTATGTAGTATGTATGCTCTTCAGATGTACAGTGATCCTCTTAATAACACTTGAACGTTCAGAAATATATTTACATTTACAGAAGTGTCCATGAGGTCTGATACACAGCTATCCTTGAAAATTGATCACATAATCTAAACCTGCTGTTTATATCTGGGCAAATGAATCTGATTTTACTAAGGCAGATAATGCAAAAGAGCTCAGCCCTAGCATGATTACACTAAAGATCTTATAACAGGTATTTAAGAATTAAGGCAAGAAATAAAAATTACAAGAAGTATATTGTGAAGCTATGAAACTTTCCACCATTAGCGTATATGCTAATAATACTCGGAGAAACTGAATTATATTAAATGTTAGTTTGCAGGTCAATGGATTAATTCACTGATATCTAGAATTTGTTGGGGACTACGCCAATCCTGATTGAAAAGCCTGATTTTAAGAAGTAAGACATAGAGAAAAGTCCTGCTTGTGGCTCAGCGTTTGTATGATAGTTGTTTATCCTCTCTTAATTTATGGATATTTGGCAAATATTTTAGCAATGTGAAGTACACCAGGAGGTTCCCAAATTTTGTTTGCCTGGGTACCACCATTAGGAATTCCCTGGGTAGCCTCTGTGTGCGTGTTACCAGATCTTCTGCATGTCCTTTCACTGTGTGCTGCTCCCACCCCGCCCCGGGACTCCTGTCACAGCTGCAGCCAGTGAACCATCTAATATTTACTGCTGTTGGGAGGGGTGTGAAGACGGGGCCTTGCAAGAACAGGCTTCCAGGCAGGTACAGGTGAATTTCCTGCCTGCAAACTGTACAGGCTGAAGGACGTACAGAACAGCTCAGTAGCACAAAGGGGCTAAAAGAAGCTGCTGGCCTAAGTTCTCTCAGTTGCTCTTGCTCCCTGCTGGTGGGTTACCCCAGGCCATTGACTGCCTGCCTCTCCTTTTTCTTTAAAACAAAAACTAAGTGTGAAAGCATTGGTTCTTCCAGCTCTGGCAGATTGCTTGCATCATGCTTATCTGAGCAGCTTTCCAGCCTGTCCAAAGCTATTTTTATGCATCATAGTTTGGGAACACCTGAACTGTACCAACATTTTAAGTACGAAAGCTTTATGACAGTAGTTTAGGACCTGAAATGAAGCTTGATGCTGCCTTCCAGCTACTATAAATAAAGCATTTTCTTTAATTGGCTGCACTTTTTAGGTATTTTATTGACAACAAATTCTCAAAATGAATATTTACAGTTTTTAATTTTCTTCTCCTGTACATTGTAGCTGTAGAAGCCTAACTGTCTAATTGTTGCCTGGGTTGACTTATTCCCCACCATGCCACAATTCTGACTTCTTAGTCTTTTTCACTCCCTTGTTCAGCACGTACCCATTTCATATGTCTGGTTTTCATGTGATTCCTTCCTATTGTAATGTCAATTTTGACCTTGCTTATCTGTTGGTTGTCTGAGGTCTCAATTTTGTTTTTTCTTAAAATTGTAAGGGGCAGAGTTTTCTTTCACTGCATTCCTATGTACATTCACCAACAGTGGGGGCTATGCATGCCAAAAAGAAACACGTGTTGCACAGTTGCTGATTGTGCATTTTGGCCAGCAGGAGTGGCAACCTGTGGTGCATGTGCCCCGGTTCCTCCTGCTGGACACCAACAGCCCCTTTTAGGTATCCATTTAAAAACTCCTGGCCTGTGATTTTACCACAGTGTTATTTTTTACTCAAAACCTTTTTCGGATGCTCACTTCTTGGGTGTTTTCTCAAACTGTCTACATTTAAATAAACTAATAATTGCTGCTTTAATAATGTTGCGTGATGCTTTGTATACAATACATTCTACAATATGTATTTTGTAAAAATTAAATTTGAATGTGTCCTGGCAACAACTGTTGTTTTCTGCTGTTATGCTGTCCTCCATGTCACTTTTTAGCATACTGCCCTTTGAAACTGCTGATCTCTGTTGCAGAAGACTCCTGGGTTTTTTCTGTTTTTTTGTTTTGCATTTGAGTCACCAAAAACAGTGACATCAAGAGCTGTTAATTCTAAATTGAACAGTCTCATGCTCCACAGATTGACATGGCCTTGATCCACTGGGGTTTTAGGAAGCAACACGGCGGCAACAGGATCACATACTGATAGTGCTGATGGAGTGTGGCTTTTCATGTTCCTCAATCTATGGAAGTTTTCTAGCAAAGTGTTTTAAGTGTTTTGACCATTGTTGGATGGCAAGACGTTAATCAGTGTTTATAGTTATTTTTTGAGGAGTCTTTTTTTGCAACTTTGCTACAGACAAATGGCAGCCAGTTTCTGGAAAGCCAGTTGCTTTCCACTACGATGCAAGATTTGAATGAAATCTTTTTGGCAGACTAAAGCACTGTGAACACAACATGTATATATGCAGAAGAATGTTTTGGCTGATCTGCAACATTAACGACTTTACTTGAAAGACAGCTGTATAGTACAAACCTTGAGAGGTTTGTGAGTATAGACCAAGGTGTCCTTCCTCACACAAAAATGCAAAATTGAAATATTTGTTCTAAATATCACTTTATTATTAATAATAATTCCTTCTAGAATAGATAAATTCTAGTCTCTGTGGGGCAGTCTGAGTTTTATAAGGTCTGTTCAATACTCTGTCTTTGTCTTTTACTACAGGTTTGTCCTGGGTACTTGGGAATGCTGAAGAGTTGCCCTTTGATGATAATAAGTTTGATGTTTACACAATTGCCTTTGGAATCCGAAATGTAACTCGTATTGATTTGGTAAGTTGCTGTAGTGTATCCTGACATGGGGCCTTTAGGATTGACCTGAGGTTTTTTATTCTAGTGGAGGAAGCAAAGGAAGAGTTCCTTTGGATAAAGGGACATCTTTGTCTACTCCTGAAGCATTTAAAATAAGTAAAGACCCTTCTGCTCAGTGTCTTTGCACTGACTGGTAGTAGAGTTTTCCATGAAGAATGAGGATGATTTTAATTAGGGTAAGTAGTATAGTACCCTTTGTTCTAAACAATATCTGTCCTTCAAGAAGGACTAGCTGTCTTGAGGATGAAGATAGGTTAGATCACCTGCTTAGTTGGACTAGTTGTCTGTGTTTTGGAGGAGTGTGTTACAACCTTGGCAGAGTTCCTTCTGTGGAGGGTGTAGTGTTTGGATCCAAGCCACCTTGAACTGTACGCCTTCGAACTTGCCTTAATGTGGATGGCTTTTCATGATGCTTCGCCTGCACCCTTCTGAAGCACAGGCTCTTTGCCTTCATGGATACATCAGGCTGGTAGCATAGCTCCTTGGAGACATGGTGCAAAACATATCTGAGCTTCCAAATCTTTTGCAGAGCTCCTGTCCTATATGTGTACTGTTTATGTTTTATCCCCTAGGAACATGACAGTTGAAGCCAAACAGATGTATAACCTGCAGAGGTTCTTGAATACAGCCCTGCAGTGCTTTTGTATGAACAGTTGTAAACAGAATTTTTTCTTGGTGGTGCTTAGGTATTTTATTTTGGATATAGGATGGAATTTAGAAGTACGAAGATTTTCTTCTTCCCTGTCCTTCCTCCCTGTTCTCACACGTCGCTCATCCAAAACCCAGTATCATTTCTTCTTTCATCCTTTGGGTGTGCCTCACAGTTCAGTAAAGGCTTTTCTTTTGACTAAAAAAAATATCTATTGTGCGCTCTTTTGATTTTCAGCTTCTTGTATCTGAGTCACCTTCTCCCCTTTGGGTTTGGTCTATAATTACAAGAGCTCTGCTGGCAAACATTCATCAGCTAAGAGTAGGGAAGAAAAATAAAAGCTGCAAACCTGATGTCATAGTTTCAATACAAAGCCTGGAATAAATCTATTTATATAACAGCAATCATGTTTGTGGTCTGGTTTTGTTGTTCATTTGGGGTTTTTTTAGTACTTGTCGTGGGATGCTTCTCCACAAGTAAATATGGGAGATTGCCAGTCAGAATTCTCTTTACTCCCTTCAGTTCATCACTGAGTTGCCATCACATGGCATGGCAATAGGCAGGTGCTGTTCTACAGAAACATTTATCACATCTGCTTTATCTCAGGCACTTGAGGAGGCCTATCGTGTGCTGAAACCAGGAGGAAGATTTCTCTGCCTTGAATTTAGTCATGTCAGCAACCCTCTTCTTTCCAGGTAGGAACATGGTGATGCTATGCCATGTCACATGGCCCTGATTTGTACTCAGCCAGAATAAGAGGTGGAGACACTTTGAGGCCACCTCATTGTGCACTTTTAAAATCATATACAGATTCCATAGTGTAGTGGTACAGAGATCAACCTGTGGTGGAGGGGTTGGTTTTAAACTTACTTGTATTAATCTGTATTTGCTGTCTGTCTGTGCAGGCTCTACGATCTATACAGTTTCCAGGTTATCCCTGTTCTGGGTGAGGTTATTGCTGGTGACTGGAAGTCTTATCAGTATCTCGTGGAGAGCATCAGACGTTTCCCTCCTCAGGTAAGACAATTTCTCTGAATTCACTAACACACAAAACATGGTCCCAGCATAATCTTAGAGGCAGCTGGCTTATAGGCCTTCAGGTTATTGTAACTATGGAACTATTATTTTTCAGGAGGAGTTGAAGGCAATGATAGAAGATGCAGGCTTTTTAAAAGTGGATTATCAGAATTTAAACTCAGGCATTGTTGCCATTCACTCAGGTTTCAAACTGTGAGTCTACTATGTAGCAAAACACAGGAAGTGTAATTTATTTGCTGAGGAATATGAAAGCTGTGGAACTTCTAAGAACTTGTGCAACATACACTTGGTCAGCAATCGGATCCAGAAGAACATCAGCTACCTTGTTTCCACTGAGAAACCTGCAGAGGGAGGCTCCTGTGGCGGCACTTACACTTGCATTTCCCTTCAAGTGCAACATGAAGGACATGGCCAAAACTGAGCGGTGCCAACAGATGAAGCAACAGCAGTTACCAGTGCTGGATACAGAAACAGACTGACTAGTCTTCAAATGAGATGCCTCGTTTTTTCAGTAAGCTTCAAAGAGGATATCATACTAGTATAAAGTAACTTGGATTTATTAATTTTTATTTAGCTGTCATTATCTTTGTTGTGGACTTTTCCCTTGATTCCTTTACTGCTTTCAAGGGCATATGGAAGGTTTGAGAAATAAAACAGCTCTGCATCAATGTTTTTCACTTACATCAATATTTTAACCTTTTTAAGGTTTCCTTTCTAAGAAAGGAATTTTTTCCCGAAGGAGAATGACCACATAACTATATTGTGGGATGAGATGACATGTTTTCACCTCCATATAAATCTTTTTGCTAGTGCCAAATGCATAATCTACATAAAAATACTGTGCATTTCCTTCTGTTCTTTCCACTAAACTGTTGAGGAACAGATGCTTCTGTAGCAGGATACAGGGATAGAGTACAAAAAAAACCCTAGAGAAGGTAAATTTATATTCTAAAGTGACAGCTGTGTAAGGAACTAGCATGAAAATTTCTCTCTTCTGGAAATTGAGAGGTGAAGACTTGCTTTTAACTCACCCCTTCACTTGAAATCAGAAAAGCAACAGCATGTATCCAAACTCCAGAATTTGCACTGGAGGTTACTAAAAATATGCTTATCAAGAATTGAATAGCTGTCTCTTCTCTCAGAGAAACTCTCCTGTTGTTCTCATTACTGACTGATGACATACTCAGATTAGCTCAGGCTTTGGATGCTGTGGATCTAAGGGAAGAAATTGAGGTAGAGATTTCGCTCCTTCATTCATAATGGAATAAAGACTAAAACAAGCAATAGAGGGCAGAAGGGTAGAGAAAACTCTTTAAAGGATAAACTTGTTCCAACAGTTTTATTAGCAAAGAAGCCATATTTTGAAAGAAAATAAATACAAGGAAGACATTTTTGCATTTTTTTATAGCCACAATGAAAATACCAGCTGCTACAGCAAAATCCCTGACCATAACAATACAACAAAAGACCTGAAGATCAAGGTCTGTTTCCTCAGGAAGGCTGAAGGTAGGAGGCTGTTTGGAGTTAGTGTGCAGTCCTGTAACCAGGTGCAAGTTTCAAAAACAGTCCATGGTTCTAACCAGACTTAAAAAGAAGAATAGCAACTTGGCCGAGGTAGAAGTAGATGAAGTGCTTGGTCTCATGAGTCACGTAGCTGCCAAAGTTCCTTCCCACGATGCAGTGCCAAGTGGGATTGTATTTCTTGTCAAATTCCTACAGAAGAGAGAACTAGAAATTCAGCATTTTCATGAGAATTGTACTAATATTGCCTAACGGGTTTTTTTGTGATGATATGTCAGTTGTTAACAAGTATCACTTTTGGAAGAAGGCAAATTAAGGCACAGCATATGCTCTTAAGTGCAAGGATCATCTGTCACTTTATAACTCATCTGCTGCTTAGTCAGACCCAAAAAAAAAAAAAACCTGCTTCCAAGCTGAGCAGGAATAAGCTTAACACATATGTTGGGGAAGGAACTTCTCCCCACAAGTCACACCATGATCTCAAACTCTAACTTCACTGCTTGCTCTGAATCTCTACAGATTAAGCCATTACTTCAACTTCATTAGCTGTTTTCAACAAGGATGTTGAAAGGACTCTTGATGGAAAATTCTTTGCCACATCCTTGATACCAAGTCATGAGACCATGTTCTTCCTACACACTGTAGTCAGGAGCCTGCTGTGACTTTCAGATAAAGTCGTGTGTACAAGTCTATGGTGAGTAAAACCATTCAGTTCATAGTTATATACTGCAGCTTGTAACAGCTGTCAGCTGAAGAGACTTTTTATGAGACCATGCAGGAGTTTTCTGTTCTGCTTAATCAAACCCTTCAACTATTTGCAGCTCTATCAAGCTGAGTCAGAAAATCTGACACACTAAGCTAGAAACCATCTGTTCTGCGTTGCATGAACAGTTTGTCTTGTATGTGGTGGGGAAGAAGAAACCAAAACCACTTATTAGAAGGTCAGCAAACCAACACTTCTCAATTAGACTCCATTAGAGCCCCAGCGTTTTGTATCACCACAGGGACAGTCCACTGCCACTCGCTGTCCAAGGCTTAAGTAGAACGTGCTGCAGAAGGACACGGAAAAGGCCACAAAAAGGGTGAGGAAAAGGAACATAAGGACACCAGCCTACAAAGTCCAACTCGATTATCTAGTGACTCTAAAACTTGTTTCTCTAGAGCTACTTGCCTAGCAGCATTCTGCCTGTTTGATTTTTCATGTTCATAGAGCTTCCAAGAGAATATCACAAGCAAACTTTTACCTTCTTTATGTGAGCAGCAATGTCCTTCTCGATGTTGTACTTCTCCAGGGCCTGAGTAGCACACTCCACAGAGTCTTGCTGCATCTCTTCAGACATATCTGCATTCTTGATCACTGCCTTTCGATCACTCATGATTGCCTGTATTGAACGAAGAACAAGAGCATTCAAAGCTGCAGGAGCAGGCGCCTGCCAGGGTCCCCCGCCGAGCAGCCACACCGGTATCCTCGCTGCCAGCCCGTCCCCAGGGCCCGCGCTGTGCCCACACCCGCGGCTGGGCAGCCTCGGGGCCGGCTGGGCCAGAGGCGCAGGCACAGCCCGTGCTCAGAGCCGCAGCAGCGAGGAGTTACAAGCCGGGCCCCGGCCCGCTCCC